AGCTTCCTGTACTCAGAGATGCATGTGATTACTGGGCAGCTTCCTGTACTCAGAGATGCATGTGATTACTGGGCAGCTTCCTGTACTCAGAGATGCATGTGATTACTGGGCAGCTTCCTGTACTCATGACATGTATCATTTAGCCACCTGTGCAGTTCTGGTTTGCTAAATAGGGCAGGACTGAAGTGCTGGTTTGATGTTTGCTTGATGTTTGGACTGTTTGGTTCCTGCATGCACATGGGGAGCCGCTCCTCGGCACAGCTGATGTTGCAGTGCAGTCGCCTTCATTTGCAGTGACAGTGTGTGGTGTAACTGTAACAGGACTGTTTGAGCTCTGCGCTGCTGTCTGGGTGATTGCATTAACCAAGATGGGGAGCTTTCATTGCATGGTTAATGCGTAGTTAATCCACATTTTAGTGGGGGTTGGTACAACTTACAGACCTCACTTCTGCAGCTTCTATTATCAGCTTTGGAAGAAATGCAAAGACATTAGGAAGCACTAACGCAAAGCAACGCTGTCCCATAAAGACCATTAGTAAGTGCTAAGTGAATTAAAGGTGGTCCCTGCACCTCACCTCAAGGTCCTGGTAAGAGTAGGGAAGACATTAGCATGTGCTAACGCAAGCTGAGCGGTCCCTGTATCTCATTTCGTGGTTTTAGTAAGACTGAGAAAGACGTTAGCCAGTGCTAACGCGAGCTGGACCAGTCACTGTACCTCACCTTGAGGTCCTTATAAGGGCAAGGAAGACATTGGCATGTGCTAACGTAAGCTGAATGGTCCCTGTACCTCACCTCAAAGCTGTAGTAATAATGAGAAAGACGTTAGCCAGTGCTAACACAAGCTGAACCAGTCCCTGTATCTCACCTCGAGGTCCTAGTAAGAGCGTGGAAGACATTAGCCAGCACTAACACAAGCTGCACAGGTCCCAAGCATCTCACTGTTAGGTCCCAGCCTGCACGGGGAAGGCATTAGCGAGCGCTATTGCAAGCTGAACCGCTCCATCGACTTCACCTCAAGGTCTCAAGCAGCAGGGAAGGCGTCAGTGAGCGCACCCGCACCCGCATACAGAAGCCGTCCCTTCATTCCACCTTGCTGCTGTGTCCCCAAAGGAATGGGGGAAGACATTAGTGGTGCACGCTCAGACACGCTTCAGTGTCTTTTGTTATTCAGAGTGGTTGGACCCGAATTATACGGCACGCAAGAGCTGGATGAAAGGGGAAGCCAGAGAAGAATATTAAAGCCTGGAAGAGGACGGCCCCCAAGGCAGGCCCAGCTCGACGGGCCGGAGCGGGGGAGACGCACACTTTTAATTGATTCCCAGATTCTCCATTTGAGTTGTGGAGAGCGATGCGTGGAGCCTGTCGACTGTGACACATTGTCCAAGAGAGACTCTTGTCTCATATCTGACTTCGTTTTCATACAGAGACGTGCTCTTAGGAATTCTTCCGGTCCCTTCCAGATAAGTGGAAGCGGCCGCTGATATTTCCAATCTTGTTTGGATGAGATTAATCCTGGCCTTACATGTTCTAACCATGTTTGTTCACGGCCGTGTGATTGGCTGTGGTGTGTGTGTGTGTGTGGCTGTGTGTGTTTCACATGTACAAACAGCTGTTACTGCTTCTCACCCAGCTTCTGCCGGCCGGTTTAGTCCCTCTGCATGTGGCTGGTGTTTGGCAGTGAGGATTGTGCCTCGCTAAGCTGCCCCCACCCGCGCTCCCCATGCCAGTGTTTAGCTTTGCCACAGTTGTCTACCCCCCCGACACTCTCTCGCTGATTGATTCTCTTAATTAGAATCATGTTGGGGGCACGCAATGGACACACCTGCAGACTGGCTCCATAAATCTTCCATGGGCCAAAAACCCACCTGCCCCCAAACCCAGCCCCCCCACATCCCACATTTACAGCTGGGTGCTCTATGGATGCTCTCTGCCCCCCCCCCCCCCCCCCCCCCCCCCCCCCCCCCCCCCCCCCCCCCCCACCCCCCCATTTTCACCTCAGCGGGGTCGCCCCCCCCCCCCCCCCCCCCCCCAGCACTTGCAGGCCGCCGGGCTGTTGGCAGATGTGTTTTTGTTGGTTGTTGTTTCTGATTTTCTGCCGTTCCTGGGAGCCTTGACCTCTGGATCCATGAAGCGTGATCTGCCTTGGAGCCGGCCTCTCTGTTCCCACCTTCACCTCCCATAAAGATGGAACCTTGTGTCTTTAACGCAGCGGAAGCACCTTTAGCCGTCATCCTGAGTCGATGCTCATTGTGGACTGACTGCGAGAGCCCTCATACTTCTCTTTGTTGTGCTTTACAGTCCAATGCGTTCACCGCTTCTCCACATCGATAAGCAGCCATTTTTAAGTTATTTTTTTTAATACACACGAAAGTTTCCTCATGGGTGTTCTTTGGACAGACAGTAGGGGGCGCTGTGGTTTGGGTTCTGCAGGCTTTTTTTTTGGAGCCCTGCCCTAACCCCACCCTCTCTCCCCTCTCTTCAGTACAGGCTGGTAGGGGGATTGCTTTGCTGTCTAAACCTTTCACAGAAGTGAGCCTCACCTGAGCTCTGGCATCGCATATGGCATCCTCCCTCCAGCCAGGCTGTGTCCTCATCCCACTGGCTGGATCGCGTCCCCCCTCCCTCCAGCCAGGTCATGGCCATGCTGCGTCCCCCTCTCTCCGGCCATACCACGTCCCCCTCCCTCTGGCCGGTTCAGTCACGCCCCCCTTCCTAAAATCAAGTCTCAGCCATGTCCCCCCTGCCTCCAGCCGGGTTGCCCGCGTCCCCTTTCCCTCCGGCCGGGTTGCCCGCGTCCCCTTCCTTCCGGCCGGGTTGCCCGCGTCCCCTTCCTTCCGGCCGGGTTGCCCGCGTCCCCCTCCCTCCGGCCGGGTTGCCCGCGTCCCCCTCCCTCTGGCCGGGTTGCCCGCGTCCCCCTCCCTCCAGCCGGGTTGCCCGCGTTCCCCTCCCTCCGGCCATGCAGTGTCCACCCTCCCGCAAACTGGGCTGTGTCGCCTTCCTTCTGGCTGAGCCGCATCCCCCTCCCACAAGCCCGACCGCATCCCCCTCCCTTTCCGGCTGTGCCATGTCCCCCTCCCTCCAAACTGGGTCACGTACCCCTCGCACATATGGGGCCTCATCCCCTTCTTTCTGGTTGGGCCGCGCCCCCTCATACAAGCTGGGCCGCGTCCCCCTCCCTCGGGCCATGCCATATCCCCCACCCACAGTGCTTACCTGCCCCACACACGGTGCCTCACGCGTGGGCTCTCTGCGGACAGCTTGTGCCTCCTTTCTGTTGTTGGAGGTCACGTCCCAACCCCCCCGCCCCCTCATGTCCCTTCCGCCGTGGCCTCCTGCCACTGAAAGTATCATCGCAAGTTGAAGGGAAAGCCTTTTAAGGAACCAGCGATCTCCCTGGAAGGGTCACGAGAAGCTGTCACCTTTCTAAAAAGGACACGAACCCCCACCCCCCCACATCACCATGAAAGCCAGCCTGCTTTTAGCCGCAAGCTCTAACTGAGGGGAGCAGGCGCGGCTGGCCCTCTGTCAGTGCTAGCACTGGGGGGAGGGGGGGTTGGGGTCTTGCAGTTTGGCTTCTCCCCCCAGCCACCCACGTCAGGAAGACGCTCCTACAGAAGCACCTTTCAGCTTGTCACCTGTACATTTGCGTATTTAGCAAACATTTAGCAAGTCCGGCACACGGCACATTGCATCCGACTGTTGAGGATTCAGCTAGGCACCATTGCAGCTAAGCTGACCTTCTAGTGAACGCCTCGGTATGAAGGTCAGCAGCGTCGGATCCAGAGCTACACAGCAGCATCTAACAAAGCAAGAACCTAGTGTGACTGTCCATGGACCAGCAGTGCAGCATTAGAACCCGGTTTTGGGTTGCTGGGGTGCCATGTCAATCCCATGGCAGCTGCATGCCCTGTAATTATGTTGTGCCCCCCACCATTGACATGTCTGTTAACCATTGTACCTGATAAAGACGCGGTCTTTATTAGTGTCTCACTGGGGGGCCGAGTTCTTACTGGAGAGGTCTGTGGTGTGGGACGTTGTGTGGGGGTGGGAGAAAGGGGATTTTTGGGGGCTGGAGGGAGGCTTCCCCTGGGGGGGGGGGGGTCTCAGTTAATTACACAAGTTTTAAAAGTCATTAAGTGTGTATGCAGTGGCCTTGGGCTGTGGCTGTAATAGTTCAGCAGGCCGTGGGGTGGGGGCCACATAGCTCCCCCTCCCCGGCTCTGATAGAGCGAGACCCAGCTAGCCCGCCTCACGGGTGTGGGGTGATGTTGCAGAACGAGCAGGGCGTGGGGGGTTAAATGCTGCGGCCCCTGTGTCCGGTGAGCCGCTTCAGGATTAATGGAGAAACCCATGACCCGTTTCCGGGAGGAGGGGCTTCGGCTCACTCCCGACTGGTCCCCACCCTTGGGCCAGAGGACATTCATCTCGCTCGGCAACACGAGTTCTGCCAAAGCGGCCATCATAGCATTTATCTATCAGCTTCTACTGGAATTCACCATCACCAAGGGCTCTGATGGGCAGGTGGGGTCACTGGCTTCCTTGATCCTCACCCTCAAAGGCACAAGTGGGGTCTATGTGTGTTTGTGCCCCCCCCCAAAGAGGGCTGGACAATCTGCTGACCCCAGTATCTACCCCTCCCTGATTTACAGTTAAATAAAATTGAGGAATCAGCCATCAACTGGTGGAAACACATCTGCTGTTTCTCCCCACCCCGCTCCGCCCCCCCCGGTTTCTGCCTCCTCTCACGGCTTGATTACTTTTTAATGATTTCTGCTGGGGAGACGGATGAGGGTGCTTATTGGTTGGATTCAGACAGGAGCTCGCCGCTGATGCTGCGTTTGTTACGAGGGGAGCGGACCGCATGGAGGATGGGGGAGCGGATGGACGGGCAGAGGGGCAGGAAGTGATGGAAGGGCTGAAGGGCGGGAGGCAGATGGATGGGCGAACGGGCGGGGATACTGATGGACGGGCGGAGGGACGGGAGGCAGATAAATGGATGGCCAGGGGGCGGGGATACTGATGGACAGGCAGAGGGGCAGGAGTGTGGATGGACGGGTGGACAGGCAGGGATGCTGATGGAGGGGTGGGAGGAAGATGGATGGGCGAAGGGGCAGGAGTGTGGATGGACGGGTGGGGAATGGATGGACGGGCGGAGGGGTGGGAGTATGGATGGACGGGTGAGGGGGCAGATAGACGGGTGAAGGGGCGGGGAATGGATGGATGGATGGGCAGACGGATGGGTGGAGGAATGGTGGGGGGTGGATGGATGGATGGACGGATGGACGGGTGGGTGGGCGTGGTTTCTGTCGCCCCTTAAATGGGTTCCATTTAAAGCGAAACAAGCTCTCTTCATCATTATGCCAGGCAAAGTCAGAGTGCCCCCCCCCCCCCCAGTCCCCGTTACGCTGTTACCATGAGAGCTCAGATACCCCTGCAGTGCGAGGCTTCCACCCTTCACACGGTGCCCACCGGCATCCCCCAGGAATGGATTGTGCTTTCCTTAGCGGCACCGCCTGCCATCGAGGGCGGGGGCCCATCCCTTTCATTCCACTCATCGCTCAGGCACCAGCACGTGCAGTCATATGACTTTAAGCACTGCTTCTGCCCAGTTCATCATGGGAAGACCCCACGCCTGCCCTGTGGGGAGCTTTTGCTGTAACTGCATCCAAACAGAAATGTAACCCGATCATAACCAGGCCGGGCTGCTGATAAGACCTGGCGGTTAATTGATCTTAAAGAGTGCTTTGTGCTCCCCCTCTGAGCCATCATTTCATACCCACTCTACCGTGTGGCTGTGTTCCTCTCCCGGTGTCACCTCCCAGTGACCAGTGGGCTGCTGCTGCCCCCTGCTGGCAGCTGTGCACCTCGGCCCTGGAGGCCGCCAGCGTCTTTGGAGCATGAGGTCTCGTCAACACAGTCAGCTCTGAAGCTTTGCTGCTTGACCATGGCCGTACTCTCCTCCTCCTCATTTCAGAGCACGGTCATCGTGGAGAAGTCCATCCAAGACCTGATGACCCTCATGGGCGACCTTAGCGCCTACTCCAACCAGTTCCTGGAGATGGTGTGTGACAAGCTGAAGGAGTACAAAGAGATCTGCAACACCGCCTACAGGTATGAGGCTGTAACTGCACCTTCCTTGCTTTATGACCGTAACAAATGTTAGACATATGAGCTCCACCTTCCAGCCTGACTGCGAGGCAGCATCAAGGCAGGAAGTAAAGAATGTGGCGTCGGGGTCGTCAAATCGAGGCTGCAGAAGGCCTTCCTTTGTGTTGCCATTGTTGGCTACGCCATACACTGTCTCTCTAATGTGGGCATTATGGGATGGAGAGCGGCAGGGGGTTCTCTCCATCTGGTTCCGTGACCCCCGACTCCTGCAGATGGGGACCCCGCCACTTTGGCCTTCTTCCTGGCCACCTGACCAGGTGTTCTCACATGGGTTCCCTCCTCGGGGATTCTGGGAACATGCCCTCAGGCATGTGTTTCTTCCCGTGCTTTTATGTTTGTATACAGGTGACACGTGTGTGTGCGTGCGTGTGCATGTGTGTGTGTGTGTGTGTGTGTGTACCTCCTTGTGACATGTGTTCATGCGGCTCTATCTCCCTGCCTCCATCTCTGTTAGTTGGCTAGTCGGTTGATCATTTGGTCTGTCGTTCTCCGTGGAGTGATATTCTGGCAGATCTGCATAGAGGGTTAATATCACTCAGGCCATCGCTGGGGTTGCGTGTGCAGTGCGTGTAGCCAGATCTGCACACCTGTCACGTCGCACTGTGTTGTCAGGTAGCCATCCTGTTCTGTATCCAATCTGAAATCAGGTTATAGGGTGAATGCCTCAGTTAAACCCAACTCAGCAACGTTTGGGCCAGGATAGTGTTGTCCACCGGGCTGTGCTAGCCCCTCCCCCCATCTCCTGCTTTCTACCCGCCTCCCTGTTTGGGTGCGGTCAGTGTATTCATTTTTAACACTCTGCTTATCAATGGGGTGTATGGATATAGTTAATTTTCCATCACGATAACTTTGCTCTGAATCTGAGCCACGCTATCGATTTAGGGGTTGGGTTGTAAATGTCAGCTATTCCCACCACTCTAGCTTTCCCTTTTCAAAATGTTTTTGGTCTGCGCTGGCCTCAGGCTAACTCCACTTTGATAGAACACCCCCCTAGGTGACCATCGTCTGTCTCTCTCCAACAGCATCTCCTCTCAACTCCTCTCCTCAGAGCCAGGGAATGAGCCCAGATGGTAGCAGGGAAGTGTGTTTGCTGGTCGGTCTTGCCGGGCCAGGGATATGTCCACGGCTCCCCATCGAGATGCTGTTGGGGCTGTGGAACTCAATCGCTTGCCCCTGAGGATGCCTTGTGTCTGTCCACAGGGGCATTGTCCAGTCGGACGAGAAGCTGACCATTAGTGCCTCGTGGGCCAAAGACGAGGACATCAGCCGCCTCCTGCAGTCCCTTCCCAACTGGGCCAATATGGCCCTTCCCCGGCAGGCACGGCAGAAGAGGGAGGAAGAGGAGGACTTCTCCAGGTACCTGCCCACCTCCGTGTGCTCCGACTTCTGCTTCCACATCGGCCCCCATGCCAGTTTTTAGCTGTGTGTGTAATGCCACACTGCTCTAATGAAAGCACCTTTGCTCCAGAAAAGCCCTGGGTGCCAGGGTCCTGTGTTTCCATGGAAAAGCCCCAGGTACCAGGGCCTGTGTTTCCAT